TACTATACAATAGGCTTGTGTAGCCAGTCGTTATATCAGTATTACGAATGTATGAGATATTCTACAATGATGATGATATGAATATACACATCAAAATAATACACAACATGAAATGATGTTTTGTGTATACAAATAGTGTGTTCTATTGAATAGGCCTATACTGATAGTTTTAGTAGTACAATATGTTTTTAGTAATATTACATTGGAGATTTTAGGTAGAAAGAGCATAGGACTTGATGTGTGACTATAGCCAAGAAATGGTTTATTAAGAATCAATAACAGCATATAGTAACTGTTAATCAATTTTAAAGCACTTAAATAAAACGATCTTACATGTACTATATCATTTCTTAAATTTCCCTCTAAATAATGATAGGCCTATTTAAGATCACTTTCAGTGCCGGTCTTTTAATTTAAGAGGCAGGGGAGGACCCAGGGGGTGGGGTTCAGGGGGTTCGGACGAACACCCCTCTGTGAAGAAACGTAGCAAAATACTAATGGGTCCTGGCTTACAAAAGGCATTTTAACATAGGCATAGGTTGGCAGATCAGACAAACTAGACTTAGCCCAACTAGCCTTCAATTAAATAAAATTATACACACTGTTTTTTGGCTCAACGTCGTAATATGTACGAAAATGCGTTCTTCATGCCTATCGGTTTAACGATCCATGGAAAGACTACATATCCAACTACTCAATATTGTTGGAATATAATAATAATATAATGCCTATGTCTATGATTTTTTTTCTCCTGGATCCTCCCCTGAGAGGGATTCTAATTAGAATCCAAAGCTGCTAAAGACCACTAAAACCCCGGCCCCCAAAGTGGTCTCTTTGAATGGAGACCTGTACAAAAAGCAACTATATGATAGTCCAGCAAATTAAGTAATTGGGATTACTCCTACCTGCTATAAGACTTATTGCTTATAAAGAAGGAAGGTTGCTTTTGTTGAAAGACAGTTCTGGTTCTGTGAGTAAATCTGACCCTAGAGCTGCTGATCTCCTAAAAAAGCAGTTAAAACCGTTCCTTTTATAGTAGATTTGAAAATGTTATTTCCTTATTTGTTGCATAAGAGTTTTGATGAATAATTATTACTCATACTATTTTAAAAAAATCAATCTACTTTGAATAATGATTGCAGAAATGGTATGCTGTTATGCGAAAGTGGATTGATAATACAATTTTTATTTTGTTGAATATGTCATGATTCCCATATTAGGAGTTAGCCTACTTGTAAAAGCACATTTCGACACATTTTTAATTCGCTTTAGAATGCAGACAAAATCTTAATGATGGGAATCATGACGTCAACAAATTTAATTTTCAAAAGTATTTTTTGTTGATGTCATGCTTTTCATATTAGGAGTTAAACATGTGTATATCAATTATTAGCCTTGATATAACGTTGCATTTTCAAACTATTTACAAACTTAACTATTTTTTTAATGTTAAACATTGGCATCCGATAAGATTGAATCTATTATCTTAAAGCAAACCATATGGTATTTCAAAATATATAAATAACATACATTTTACATATACAAAATATACTGCTCGTAGTTTGAGAAATAATAATGTTTTTAGTATAGAGTCAATGTTTAGAAAAATAGGTTTATTGTTTATTAAGTATATCACATTGTTTTAGTTTATTGATTTCCTCCATATTTTAAAAATCTGATTCGCCTATTGCCGTAGAAGTATCTGCTTTTGTATGTGATGCTTATGTTGCTCATGCTCTATCTATGCTTCTATGCTCATGTTATGCTCTAATTGGTGGATTTCTTTCGGCTGGTGTTGTTTTGGTTTATAAATAAATAAATAAATTGATAGATAATATTTTTACTTACCCATATATTTCATTTTATTTTCTTACATCCCATTATAATATTTATTGTAGCCTTGAAGAATTGACTAAAAAATATTCATGGTGTCGGGCGGGTAATGTTTAACCCTAGTTGGCTATTTAGATTAATAAAACGCTGTATAGTTAAATTTGTCCCAATTTCCGTTAAAATCCGAGTTGCTGGGGTGTATAAAATATAGGCCTATCCCCTGCCCTATCGAAAACATAGGATAGGTTTCGGATCATTCCATGTCAGATCACCCAAAAGAGTACCTCAACATCTCAGATTTTTAATCATTTGAATACCTTGATCTGACTGTTTCAAGTCCTGCTGTATCCTCCAATCTGAGGTTAACACTTATTTACCGGCCCCCGCCATCTCGAAAAAACAAATTGTTTGTTCCCCTTTTCTTTCAGATATTTTCATCTCTGCTGGAATCAATTTCACTTTGCAACTCAGAAGTCTTGATTGCAGGTGATTTTAATTTTCATGTTGATAAGACGGATGACCGGGACTCCACTGCTTTTATCGAGCTTCTTAATGCAGCTGACCTTCAACAGCACATAACCGTACCTACTCATAAGAAAGGTCACAGTCTTGACTTCCTCATTTCTCGTAGGTCAAGTTGTCTCGTAAAATCAACCAAATTACATTCTGATCTTCCCTCCGATCATTCTGTTATTACTTCCAACATCAACCTCCATCGCCCTCCTACTGTTGTCGCACATCTCTACAGGCGAAACATCAAGGGCATTGGCAGCGAGAGGTTTGCAGATGACATACAGTCATCGTCTATGCTAAATCAACCTTGTGATGGCTTAGAACCTCTTGTACAGCAATATAATGCCGCATTGAGGGACATCTTGGACCAAAATGCGCTAGTCACTAATCGTAAGTTTATACTCCGTCCCCATGCCCCATGCTCCATGGTATAACGATGACCTTAGGGCCAAGAAACGCCACAAACGATAAATAGAGAGGAAGTGGCTTAAAACCAAACTCACCATAGATAAAGTCCTGTTTCACGATGCTAGCAAAGATTATAGCTCTCTCCTCGACAAATGCAAGAAAGATTATCATACAAATCTTATCAAATCTTGCGACCAACGAAATCTGTTTAAACTCATAAATGATTTCACTGGCGCTTCATCACGCTCTATACCTATTATGTCTCTGTGTGGTAACTTGAGTGACCGCGTTGAACGTTTTCCTGAATTTTTTTCATGATAAAATCACTGATATCCAAAAGCAGCTGGAACAGGAAATTAATTTCTCTTCACTGGTTTTTTCCTACTGAGCAACCTGTTTCTAACCTTAGTGAGTGGGACTCAGTAACCTCTGAAGATGTTTTCTCATAATGAAAACTTTCGGACGTCTGCTCACTGAACGCTTCACTGCACAGCTTAACACAGTAAATGAGTCAAAGCGAGAGCCACTTTTTTCACAAAATCGTCTATATGTTTTGATTGAATTATTTAGGAATCTGGGGCGATTGGATTATAAAACTAGACATTATAAGCTTTGGAATTATATATATGTGTTTACTATATGTAAAAAATTGAGTGATAATGTCTATTTCAAAGTTGACAACTCCTAATGGTTTTGAATAGAAAAAAGGTCAATTTTAGCTTGTTTTTCAGTATACGATTTACTTCCCTTTGGAATAACTCGGGAACCATACGTCTGTTAACCCTGGGGTAAACGGTCAAGTGTAGCTGATATAATTTACTTTCTTTTCATATCAATCTTATGTTAATTGGCCAAGAGATGATTGATCATTTTTTCTTTAAAATTTTTCGTTCATAGTACTTTTACCGTCATTTGGCAATCTGCCAGGTCACATGACATGCTTCCCGCTACGAATGTTTGCAAGCTAGAAACATCTGTTAGCTCTTAAAACCATCTTATTCATTATAAATATACAAGTTTTGTACTCCAAAAGTTGAACATTGTAATTTACTACTCTATCTAAAGTAAAATTAACAAAAATTATTGAAGAAAAGGAGGACTACAGACGATAAAGGAAGCATTTTCTGAAATGACCAATCCATTTTTGGTAAAGGTAAGTGCAAAGCCTACCTGTTTACTGGGCTCAGAGCGGGGTCATCTTGGATTTACTTGTGCCTACAGTCTTAATTTAAGTAAAGAATCTGTACACTTTTAGTACATTACGTTAATTAATAATCATATATATATATATATAGGCCTATTTATATATATATATATATATGTATATATATATATATATATATATAATATTTTATTTTATTAAATAACTATTTCCATACTATTTGTTAGTATGTATAGAGAACAAGACGAATGAGTGGAATATTATTTTTTATTAACCTTGGTGCATTAGAAATTAATTTGCCCTGGATGCATTCAAATCACTTTTGTGACTTTTAAAGGCAGTATTTAATAATATATTGTCTTACTGTATCCAGATGTTAAAAGTCCCCAGTCCCCTATGTTACATTATACAGTATGTGATAATAGGTGCTAAATTTTTATAATTTCACTATTTTATCTTTGCATGATTTTTTTATGTATCCTAATATTTTATGTATCCTAATATTTTATGTATCCAGGATGTTTCCATGTAAAAGCAAAAATATGTTCAATAAATCCATTGAGGCAGTATATAGAGGCAGTATATTCTGAAATAAACTTGACATGAATAAACAAACTTAGCTTGTCTATCCGTGTCTACAGAGTGTAAAATTAGAGTGTATTTCCCTTATATATATAATGAACTGTGCCAAATCTTGTTCAGTGGAGATGTGCGTTCATGCATACGAAGTAGGTCAACTGTACGTAGATGCTCCACAGAAGGAGCTTTTGTCCGAAATCGGGCTAAAGTTTTCATTATTGTAAGGCTGTTGTATGAACATTAAGCCATCTAGTCTAGCGCCCTCCGTATACGACTATGACGATATAGCCTATGACCCGTAAGGTCAGATTAAGCATGTTGTTGCTATGAGGGGGACATGTTTGATGTACCGTTGTATGTTATGGTGTTGCCGAAGTTATACAGTTGAATTAAACATAATACTGTTGTTGCAGAACGGCGTCGAGTCCGATTATTTACTTTGGGATAACTTCCCTTACATGGCGCTGCAATCTAAACCTGTTTTACATCGTATAGAACTGTGAGTATGGCGAAATTTACCTGTAAATTTACTGCTCCCAGGCTGGAATTGAATTCGGATAGACCGTCAGATTTCAAAATATGGCAACAACAATGGGCGTCGTACGTTTCTGTCTCTGCGCTAGACAAGGAACCGCCAGCCTTTCAGGTCAATGTCCTTCAAATGTGTATGTCAACGGACACGCTTCGAATCGTCCTTAACCTTGGGCTTACTGAAAAGCACCTTGCAGAATCTTGTTCTGAAATTATCAAGGCAATGGATGCATACATACAGGGACAAGTCAACGAATCTGTTGAGCGCAAGGAGTTCAGGACCAGGAAACAAGGCCTCGATGAGGACTTTAAGGACTTTCTTGTGTCATTACGTGACCTAGTTGCAGAGTGCAACTTTTGCAACGCTAAGTGTGTGGCTAAGGCTATTAGAGATCAGATCATAGAAGGTTTATATGATTCTACAGTCATTGAAAAGTTACTTGCTGTACATGACCTGTCTTTGACTAACACCCTGGAGATGGTCCGTGCATTGGCCTCTGTCAAGGACCACACAGCGGCGATAGTCAAAACACCATCATCAGCAGCGAATAAGAGACCACCAAAGCCAACTAGTGAGAAGACAGCTAAGTCAGTTGATAAGACAGCTAAGTCACACGGTAAGACACATCACCCGTCCAACACTCAGAACCAGAAGTGCTATTACTGTGGACATACTCACGTCCAATGTAAACGTAACTGTCCCGCTGCTCACTCTACATGCAATAACTGCAAGAAAATTGGTCACTTTGCATCTGTGTGCAACTTCCGTAAGCTGCAGTCTCGTGCAGTGCATGTGAACAGTGTTATTATTGAAAGTGCCCCTCGAGCCACGATAACATTGCATCATAACAACCTACCTGTGGAAATAGTTATTTTGCCTGACAGCGGATCAGACATAATGCCTTGCTCCTTTGAGTCTCCTCGACAACATTAGAGAGGACATTAAGAATTTGCTTCCCTGTGACTTCCAGCCAGAAGCAGTTGAAGGCTCACGAATTACGATAGCTGGATGGCTCCCAGTTAAACTTGCAAGAAGTCAGAAAATCGCTCCAGTGGACTTGTACTTCTCATCTAATGTCAAAGAACCCCTTCTTTCATGGACAGCCTCAAAATCTCTTGGATTCCTCCCATCGACATATCCAATGGTAGCAGAAGTTAGCAGCAGACCAGTTCCAGCACCTCGCAAAACGACCAAGCCAACTCCGACACCTGCTCCACGACTATGCGTAGAAACTCTGCGTAAGGAATTCCCGTCGATCTTTGATGGCGTCATACAATCAATGCCAGGCGAAGAGTTTGTAATTAAGCTAAAGAGCGACGCAAAGCCATTTTGTGTGAATACGCCTCGGAAAATCCCTTACGTCTGGCAACTGGGGATTCTCGTCCTAGATCGACTGGGGCGGGCACCCGTACACGGTCACGACGCCGAAGATTAGACTGAGCAGATGCGTGAGTTCGAACGCGCGATCCCTGAGTCTCGAAAAGGTCCTCAGTCCGAACTTCAAATTCAACTGCTCCAAAACCGAACCTAGCCTGTCCCAGGTCAGCATGAGCATCCTATCGCAGTACCACGAGTCCTTTTCGAAACGTCGCGGGTACATCTTCAACTCGAGCAAGCGCGACGTCTCCATCACCAGGTGTCTGAGCGTACCGTATTGCGTTCTGATCTGGTTGAAATCCAAATTCGATTCCAAATTGCCAACCAGCTTCGACGCGACGACTTCCTGGATCGGAGGAACTTGAAAAGTGGTGAATCTCGTGTCTATGGAATAACACACCTTCTTTTCGTTCATTGCCAGGAAGGTTGCGCTGTCGCACACGTTGACGCCCGCCCTCAGCATGTGGCGGGTGGCTTCGGTGTTGGGATCGACAACCTTCTCCGTGCGTTCGGACCGAGTGCACCCAGAATCCAGCTCCTCCTTCATTATGGCCACCTCGTGGCTGCTCTCGACGGCAAGCGGATTGTTATCGCCCTTGGAGCTAGAAGGGGGAACGAATTCGTTGGTGAACCTGAGTTCCTGTACTTGCTCTCGTTCTCGACGAGCACAGCCTTCGCCGTCCTGTACGTCACGTCGTCCTAATAGGCGGTGCCTATGATGGCCTTGGCGGCCATCATTACCGAAGTCTTGCCCGAGCTCGGCGGACCGACCAGTATGCCGTGAAAGCTCATCGTCGTGTGCGGTCGGAGCTGATTTATGCCGGAGAGCAGGATAAAACAGAGTTCGCCCATGGCGTTCGAGACGTCGGCAACGCCCTCGGTTGGTTTTCGCATCTGCATAAGGTACCGATAGCCGACGTGAAGACCGTCGTCCTCGTGGGCGTGCACGTACTTCAGAAAACAGCCGTTTCCGTTTCTGCTTCCGTTCAGACTATAACTGCCGGCCATCTTCCCTCGCCAGTCGTCGCGATAGGATTGTTGTATCGCTTCGACCATCTGCGAGTTGTTCTCGTGCTTTTGTTTGTACAACTTGAAGAACGACCTATTACATTTGTGATCTACGTAGTTCTCCGGCGTTCTCCCCATTTTCTTGAAAGACTTCTCTAGCAGTCCGATTATTGGATTTTTCTCCGATTCTTTGGAGAAACCGACGTTTTTTACTTTGTTTCGTTTGGTCACGTACAGTTGGCTTATTTCGGCAGCCTCGCCTTCGCTTGATTGCAAGCAGGACGGAAAGGATCTTCGCAGAAAATAATCGGACTCGAACATGTATGACTCCATGTTCCAGGCCACCATGTGTCGGAAGGATATGCGGAGGCCTTCCTGATCCCTGATTATGGCCGTCGGGTCGATCAGCTCCAAAGACTTGGCCGTCTCCGTCAAAAGTGCCCCTCGATCGGCTTCCAACAGTTCCTCGAGATCCATTATGCGTTCGTCTCCGACCACGTCGTCGTCGTCGTCGTCGGACAGCTCTCGGGTGAGTTCTTCTCTGTTATCTTTTCTCCTCCTCGATCCGAACAAGGTCCTCGGCCACAACAGGTCGACGCGAACGTCCCACGCTTGTTCGTCGTCCTTCTCCCGGACTGTCGGACGAAGCTTGCCTTTGGGCATCCCGGGAAGTTCGTAGCGAAAGTACATTTCTAAGCTGCTTCAGAGACGGCACAGTACTGCAAAGTGATTTTCTCCTTTTAAACTTTTTCGCTATTCCCAGACATAATTTCGGTAAGAAGGTTCTGAACGCGTATTTAAACGAACCAGTCCCGTCGTCTCGTTTCTTCCTACCCCTCCTCGCTGTCGAATGTTCGTCTTCGCCGTCGTTGTCTCCACCGTCATCATCGTCGTCCTCGTCTTCCAGCGGGGAATCCATCAGCTCATCGTACCTTATGTTCGGCGGTAACGTCGTCTCCCAATCGGCGTATCCGTAGTTCACGACGAGGATGTCCCGGACCGTTAGCTCCAACCACCTCTTGAGATGCGTGGGAAAGACGAGCCAGAAAACGCGACCGCAATCTACTTCTCCTCTCACATCCTTGTGGACGATCACGCTCGGCTCGAGAAGTGAGCACACGCAGGCATACGGTTCCTCCTTGTTGTGGAGCTGTACAAGACGGTCATCGGCTCGGTGAACAGAAAATCTTCGTCGATTCGACTGCCGGGCAACAACTCGCACGGCAGTAGATCATCCTTGTTCTGAGGTAGACTGCTATCGAATTTTACGGACATCTTCCCTTGAAAACTTTTTTTCACGAAGTGAGAAGATTTTAAAGAAACTGCTGGATATTTATAGCGTTCGCACGCGTACTCTTGCCTGTTGGCGGATTGGCCATATGGGCGGTACACATGTGATCAAAGAGCATAAATAGAACAGGAGAGCCAACTACGCACACCGAGGGAGTGGAAACGACACGCCACACGCAGATAGAGTAGCCTATAAAAAGTACATACAACCGCCAGTGGGCGTTCTGTTACGAACGGGAATTCTCTTATTCTATTTATATTTTTTGGTAAACTCGGATTCCTTCACAATCGCTCAACGATCGTAAGATGAGCAGCACCAACCGCCTGCTACTTCCTCCGGAGATCCTGTGCCGCATATTCAAACTGGTGGCAAATAACCTGGTCACACGACTGGATCTATGGAACGTCCACCCGTTCTTCCGTAGCGATTTGGGTGACAGAACCGAAACCGTCCAGAGAGGTTTGAAAGAGATGAATGTAGGAAAACCATAGATATCCCGGGAATCTCTCTATTCTCTTATGTTACACGAGATTGTCAATCGGAAGAAAGCGAGGTGTATCAGATATGCCGGGAAACCGCTCAACAATAAGAAAGTGAGCGGTCTCAATGTCGTCGTGGCAGACGAAGACGACGGGACTCCCGACATTCCACACCGATATGCCGACGGTTGCGTTGTCCACTTTGTCGTGGTTGACGGTCTCGAACGCCCGTCTCGTTCCAGCCTTTCTGGCACGCGTCCTCGATCGCGCGCCCGGACTGCGGTACGTCGAACTGGAAGAGTGCAAGGGAACGCCGTTCGACGGAAGCTATCGGCCGTCGAAGAGAAGTGTATACTGGACGTTGAGATTAGTGAACATGAACGTGTCTCTGACGAACTTGATTGCGGCATTCCAACCCAACAGTGCCGAGGAAGAGGCTCGTCTCCGCTACGTTGTGCTCGTCCGATGCGCGGTGTCCCGCAAGAGAAGACTCGACGAGACGGTCCCCGACGGATGGCTACGGACTTATTCGGGCTTCAACGAGAATTCGAACGCCGCCAGACACCTTAACCTTGTGTCGGTCAGCGACAGATGGGAAGTCGCGGCTCAAATTCAACGTACTCTACACTTCGAAATTATTTTTTCGTTGCAAAAATCAGTTTAAAAATATAGAATCAGATTTGTTTGTCTTAAGTAAACTGATGTTAAGAAAACTATTCTCCAGCAGCCACTTCCAAACGCGTATACCAACCGTGTTCAAAGGAATTGTACAAAATATGTGCGGAGTTTTTCGCTACATGCGTTTTGCAGTGGAACGCAGGGACGGATCTCTCGATCAAACGATCGCTAAAGCCATAGGCATCATGCTCGTGGCAGGATCTGCGCACTTTGGAGATACACGACACCGAGGTACGTGACGATTTCGTGAACACTCTTCTGAAACAATGCGACTCGCTGACGCAGTTGGAATTCCACGGATGCGAGGGACCCACTTTTGAAGACGTGCGCGTGAAACGGAGGAGCAGACGTTGGAACCTCATGCTCTCCGACATGAACTTCGACGTGGAGAATTTGGTGAAGGCATTTCAACCTACAGGGCCGGAAAATTATTACCATCACTTCCGTTGTCTCATGGTAGATCGTTGCAGATTTGACGAAATATCGTTGCCTTCGCTTAAACACAAATGGTTTAAAGTGTATCATATGTAAAGACTTAGATTTCTCAAAAATAAGAAAAGTGTTAATAAAGAAAAGCATGCAACAGAATATGATTTTGTTGGGCGTGTGTTTTTTTTTTTTGGGGGTTTTTTTTTTTTTTTTTTTTCTAATCATTGACTTTATAAAATAATATACAAAAGAAAACAAACAGACAAAATCTTAAAATTTTCATTCACTTTTATTTATTTTCACCACTCATAATTAAATAATGGACTATAGGAATAGTTTGGGTGAATGGCGTTCTCGAATTCTAAGACTTTCTTGTGTGATGGAAACAGCCTCGTCAGAAAATAAGTTGGCTGGAACATGCGGTGGTCCAGCTCCCACGCCATCATGTGTCCAAAGGATATTCGACTGCCCATGGGATCTTTCACTGCCATGGGATCTATTTGCTCTAGAGATCTCGCGGTCTCCGGAGGCAAAGTTTCGCGATCGGCAACATCCAACAGTTCGTCCAGATCCAAAACACGTTCGTCGTCACCCAGCAAATCGAATGTCAGTTTCTTTCGTCGATCTCGCTGCCTCTCGGATTGAAACAGTGTCTTCGGGGACAGCAAATT